CACGAGAGCAAGGCCGGGAACGTCTCTTTTGAACGCCAGGATCTGCTCAAAATCATGCATGCTGCATCTTTAAGACAAAAAAAAAAACAACCCACAAGCAAGCCCCCTCTTTTCCTTTAGGACCCTCTGCCTTGGAGTTTTTTTTCCTGTGCCAGCGTAGGCTGCTCTAATCCACTCAATTAATCAGTTAATTGACTGCAGTTTCTCTGGGAATCACTCCTGATCCTTGCCAGCTGCATTATTTTTGCTCCTCTGGGGTGAGTTAAGTGGCTGATGAAGAAGGGAGGGTTCTTGTGTCAGCCCAGCTGGGGTGGCCTTGGGGGACTCTGTGCTTCAAGGCCATATCCTCTGTGGCCACCTTCACATGGATGGCTGGTGCTTATTCAGTTGATTTGCTCCTCCCCGTGTGTGCAGTTGGTAAAGATATTAGGTGGGGTTCCCTGACTGGAAGAGCTGCCCAAAAGTAGCCCCTAAGTTCCAGGTGGCATCTTGGGGGGTGGTCAGTGACATGCTGCTTGCTTGTCTTGGAGAAAACTTGGGAACCCCATTCCTTTGTTTAGAACTGCTCATGGGCTATGGTTCATTCCTCCTCCAGCCCTGGGGAGACTGGGAGCTTTAAATGCTTCAGGGAAGAGAAGAAATTCCATGCATGCAAAAGGTTAAGCTTAGCTGGAAGAGGGCCAAGGAGAAAAGGTAGAGATCCACCACCAGAAATGGTCTCCTGACTCAATAGTGTTTCTACCAAAAAAGATAGGTGTGCTTAGATGTGGTTGCTGGTTCTCCTCTCTCCAAGTTGATAGGCTTGGAGCTCCATCCATGCTAAGCTCTGCGCATTTAACAGGTCCTCTTCCATCCCAGGTTGTAGTTTGTGGCGAGTAAAAGGACCCTTGTTAGGTCATTCAGCACCAGCACAGTGGCTGGGGAGCATTTCTACGGCAGCGTGGCCTCTCTGCCAGTCGGCCAACAGGGCTCTGAGATGGCCTATTGCAGATGATCGAGAACTTTGGCTGTTTGGATAATGAGCTTTCTAGTCAGTTCAGCTACATCTACGTTCTCATAGAGGATATCATGTTCCAGATTTGTTTATAATAATGCCTGTTAACCCCATTCAGTGATGTATTCATCCTGTGGATAGTTCTTTTCACCCTGAGAGTGGCTTTAAAGAAGTAGAACTTTGCTGGCTGCTATGGGGCAGGATGAATATTCCGTCTTTGCTGATCTAAGCAATGCAGAGGGGAGCAAAGACACCCCAGTGACACTGTATTGGTGGACGCAGTCAATGCCGTGTTTTTCATCGGCTCCACTTATCATTTTAATATTATGCTGGAAAGTCTTGGTGCTGGAAATACTTGCCTTAATAACTTCCCTCGAATCATGTATATTTAATATCAGTTTAAATAGCTCAGGGTATTTTTCATTAATCAGAAGTAGCTTTCATTAAAAAAAGATTGCAAATCTCTGGTTTATTCATCCCTCTCCATTAGGCCCGGTGAATTATTCTATGTTGGCTGTAGGGTGCCAGATAGAGAATGCTGGTGACTGTCATTTGAATGGGGGTTCAAATTTCAACTTCAGGTTTGTTGGTCCAAAACAAGGCAGGATTTGTGAGCCTAGAAAAAAGCCTGGCTTGTGAAAAGAGCAACAAGCCAGGATTCTTAGTTGGGGTGGCATTCCTGATTTGCTTAATAATTCCACTGGTGGCTGGGAGCAAAACAAGAGGGAAGATTTGTTCCGTAGCAACCCGCAGTGCAGTGACAATAAGCCAGGGTTGACCTGAATTCTGGCTTCTTATTCCCTGCCAATGAGGCCGCTGCACCTGCGCGTTTTGCCCTGAAAAGGTACATTCTGAAGTTTCCATTAAAAATGCTCTTTAAAATTAAGAATGGGGAGGGGACATTCAGCAGGCTGCTGAACTCTTCCCTCTGATGTCTAAATTCCTTTCCTCCCTCTCTCAGGTTTCTTAGATCTTTCTACTTCAAGCCAATCTTAGCAGCCTTGAGAATTAGATACCTGCTATTAAAGATGGCTAAATTTTCAGGATGATGAATTTTGTGCAACAGCAAAGCGAACGCGAAACCCAGGCCTGCTTCGGTGTATAGCTTGTTAACAAACCACTTCTTTCTCTCCAGACTGAATGTTTCAACTACATCCGTTTCCTCCAGACCTACAACAGCTCTCACATGTACACTTGTGGCACGTACGCCTTCCAGCCCAAATGTGCCTACATTGTGAGTAGAGCAGAAACGTTTTCCTTCCATGATCTGTTTTGAGCAGCCCAGCTTGTCATCAAGGTTTATCAACAGCCTATGTTTTGGGGGGATGTCTTTTTTTAGGATCTGGCCACGTTCTCCTTGGACAGATTCTCCTTTGAGGAAGGCAAGGGCAAATGTCCCTACGATCCTGCCAAGGGATACACAAGCCTCATTGTGGGTAAGTGACCACAGGGCTGCTCCGTTTGGAGCCAAAGGGGCTGATGGGAATAGGATATAAAGGAGAATTTCTTGGGCCAGAGGGAAGATCCAACTTCTAGAGAAGTTCTCCTGCCTGGTTGCCTGTTGGCTTTACTCACTGTAGACAGTCATCTGCTCTTTCTAGGGTAGGACCCCTAGGTTTCCCATTCGCTAGGCTAATGCCTTCCCCTTGCTTGTTTCAGAGGAAGAGCTGTATTCCGCAACACACAACAACTTCCTGGGCACTGATCCCGTGATCCTGCGCAACTTGGGCCCCCAGTATTCTGTCAAGACTGAGCACCTGCCTACGTGGCTGAATGGTGAGATGCTGCGGAGGACAGGGTGATGGTTCTTCTGTTGAGCCTTTTCAACCTAGTAGCACAAGGGTTTGTCTTCATGAACCAACATTTTCTGTGTTGGGCAGCGGGAGGATCGCAGTGACCACAAGTGCCACATACTGGATGTATATATCGCTTATGCTGTTTGTATTGTAATAATTGGCTTGGAGTAACTCACTCGTTGTATATTCCAAACTGACTAAGTTTGCACAGTGGACTAGACCAGGGTTTCTCAACCGTTGGGGTACTTGAAGATGTGTGGACTTCAACTCCCAGAATTCCCCAGCCAGCCATGCTGG